TCTATCACAACCGTGAAGGGTCGCCGAGTGCCGGCGGACGCAAGCCTCCAGCCGCCGACCTACTTCTTTAGGAATTCTTTATTATCTAAAACACGTCATTCTCTACCCCCATCAGAACCTAACAGCACCCTAACAGCGGCTTGACGGGGTTTAGATCGAAAGTCGTCCAAAATTCCCTGGAATCAAGTGCCCGACCCAAGAGCTCAGGACTACGGGGAAGTGCACGTATTCCCTGTTCTTCCATCAGCTCGCCAACCCATCTTGGTTGAGGACCACGTTGATCTTCACTATCTTGAACTGATATCGCCGTCGAGGAGTGGACATTCTTTGAATCCGAGATGGATATAGCAGCATCACGAGGCGGTGCGCCCCATCCAGAAGCTAGATCCCACCAGTCATAGGTGCGACCATCAGTAAGGATCCAGCGTTGGCCCTGCGCACGTGAGAGATTACCGTGGACGGCGAGGACGGCGCGGGCAACATCGATTCCATGGATCAAGTGGAGGCTTCCCTGCCAGTACAAAAAATCAGGCTGGAGTTGATAAGATAGTCGCAAGCAAATTAATAAGGGATATATTACCTTACTTCGCAAGGCATCTTTAGTGGGTGCAACTCTCCCAACCCAATTGCGAGGCAAACGTTGATCTCCCCACAAACCTGCTAGGTTGAGCACGATCGCTGGGGTGCTAGGAGATAGCGCAAGAAGTTCATCCTCACATACCGCACGTGCGGTGTGGCTGTACGGTGAGTGTCGGTCGCACCAAGGTCCATTGCTGGGCCCTTCAGAAGTTTTTGTTGGCTAAACGCAATGGGCAAAAATGGGCACAAGGTTTCAATCAGATTGAGTATGGGCGACGGCATAGTTCATTAGATTAGATGAATCAGGCACTAACGATAATCAGTATAGACTGACTCACATCCCAAATACTAGTGGCTCCCAATTGGATGAAACCAACTTTATCCATCTTATTCCTCCGTGTTGATTTATAACCTTCCACAAGTCGCTGCGATGCTCCACCTTTCTGTATTGGGAAGGTAATAAGAACCGTTTGCGCGTCTGGAAGCGTTTCGTATACAGTCTGATCATCCGAGTCGGGATCGAAAACGAATGGAATTGTGGCATCTCGTCCTGATCGAGAGGTGGCGGCAAACCGTATTCCACGCTCTTCACATAGTGATATCAAGAAGGTAGAAGTCCAACCCGCACCTAGGATGAGAAGATCAACCGACATTAGGTCGCATGGATCCTGAAGGGCACGACTGAGGTGGGAGGCAGAGAACTCGCTGCTGACCCAACAGGGAATGCATGATTATTTACGTACATGCCGAAAAGGGTCTGGACGGTGCCGATGTGAATCCTAATGCGCACCCCAGCCGGCGGTACAAGGTGTGAGGTCATTGTCCGAGGATGTTTGTATCGTTAAGGCGTCAAAGTTCAGAACCGGCACTAGATTGTCTTGAGTGTCCAAACAAGTGGGGACATTGTACAAAATACAGTATAGCTATAACGTCCGCCGGGAACTTGTATGAAGTCATCACTAGTCCAGACCAAACCGGTATCATCAAGTCGTGGCTAATCATAGCTGTCGCAGTTTTAGCAATGCCAAGTAGACTGATTAAGCACGATGAGTGACTGGATGACCCGATGTTGAGGATAAGGGCTTACATCACGAATTTCAGGAGATCCGATAAATTGGTATGCAGGAAGACCAACACATTCAGCGACGGAGACCATATTGTAGCCAGCCTTGCTGAGTTTATCAAGGGCATAAGGCAATACCTGATGACTGTATCGATTTTCAGTCATCGGATCTTGAAAGAAGAATTACCAGAGCTTACGCAGTGGTTTCTTGGATGACGTCATGTCAGTGGGAAAGGGATCCAAGGATGAATACGTGGCGTACCATGAATCTCATGGTTCAATGCGAGGATGGTACTAGGGTGTTTGGAAATGATTTGATCATAATCGCTCTCACTCTGTGCAGGAGTAGCGCCGATGGAATCCTCGGAGCTTTGAATATCCATTGGAGTCATCAGAGGCTCAGGTCCATTAACATGAAAAAACGCCACATACTCAAAGTCCCAGATGACAACTGATTGATTACGAACGGCTGACGCTTGTAGTACGAGGTCATTGTAGTTTCCATAAGCTGGTGCAATTCTTCAATATCACCAAATTCTTGGTCTAGAAATATCAAAACACTCACGAGGCCTCATAAATGCAGGAACGACGCCAACGATCTTCTGCAACGCCTCTACAATTATGGTTAATTAGTTTTAGAAGCCAATAAAATCTATCAAATTCTGCCTAACACTCACGCTCGACACGCCACATTTCGTCGTGGACTAAGAAACCAATCAGAAAACCTCAAGTGACAATTTCACCACCCGAACTTACTATTATCCCAGCTCAAAGTTGTCAGGTCGCTATGGCTCCAGGTGTGCGATGCTACCTGATGGCCTTTTTGGTATGCATAGAGAACACGTTTGGCTTCATCCGCATCATAAATGCACCCATCTATTAGACATCAGAACACCACGTTTGCTCGACGAACGTCAAATCTCACAGTTATTTCCATCCATGTACACGGTAAGTTTCGTTCAACGTGACAACTGTGGATTCGACTTTATTTGACCTACTAAAGAAAAACGTTCCCGTGGCATTATATGCTATCAGAGCTTTGCTGACATCGTAGCTGAATTAGAAGCATCAGTGATGTCTGTCCGCACATGGCTCTGCCAAATTTAAACATACAGGTAAACCCAAGGCCCATCGTCCTTACCGAGACGTTAGTATCGGCATAATTGCATCATGACTCCAAGTACTCACGAAAGTAAGGGCGACGGTGTTAGGTTTCGTGCATTTGGTGATAACTCGCGCTAGGGTTTGTCTCTTCTCCACTACGGGACTTGATGAGGTCAGAGCAACGAGGAAAAGCGCGACAAAAGCTTGAAGAATCATAACAAATCGTAGGTGTCGTAAAGAGGGGGGCATCAAGACTCGAATGCCCCGATGAGCAGGCCAAGGCGACAATTGACCATATTTTATACCTACCATCTGCATGCATTTCCAACGCTCAATCGCCCATCAAACGCGGACGTCGGTATCACGAGCATTTTTTCGGAACATATACACCGAAACCAGGTCTAAATGCCTCAAAAAATACAGGTGGGATCGCGACATTGCGACCAATGGGAATAGAGGTACAAAAGTGCCCCTACCACAAGACCCGAGAGCGCGGCCTGTCGATGAGCGGAACAAGGCTGAAGATAAACCTGGCTCTCGATGGGGAATGCCAAGAAAGCAAGGCACCTCGCCTGATGTTGATTATTTATAACCAATACGGCCTCTAAGCCATTTGTTGTCCAGAATGTCTAGTCGTTCTAACGGCCTTGTTGTAAATCCGTTCTTTGCGGGATGGGTCCCCAGCGCATCTAGAGTCATACGACCAAGACTAAAGTTGCGTGGCGCTCTAGAAGGCGAGGGCGCAATGCTCAAACTCTCGATTTTCTCGGATGTTTCAGAGGAATTTGATGTTGACGATTCCGCCCGGGCGAAAATGACAGCTTTGTGGGGGAAGATAACAGAAGATAATTCGGAACGGCCAATTTTTGCCTTCAGGTACTGCATGTGGTTTGTTAGATCTGGTCGGAACCACAGGTCAAACCGTGAGACGTAGGCTGACCACATGCACAACCTTTTTTTCATTCAATAAAATCGCGACATACCGTGATGGTGGCAGGTTCATATGCATCAGAGTATAACCTATCAGTGTGCCCAGGTTCCCGCCGATAGGCAAGAATACCCCCAGGGATGACAGAGTCAGCCGAAGGAAGGCCCGGATGTCCTTTCATTTGTCATAGCATTACTGCCTACGAATTGAATAGCCAAGTCAGGATGTCAGAATGTCAAAAATCAATCTCAGACAGCCCCCAGCGAGTCACCTGGTACGATCACGGTCATTTTCAGCCGCAGCCCAACATTTCTTTTGATGAAATTTGGAAAACGTAAAGTTCTCTACTTCCGACAAATTGCAGGTAGCGCTTGATAATAGATATCGGATCGCAGGATTTCGGATGTAGTTAGTGAGGGACCCACCAAGTTTATCAGGGGACCACGCGGTTAGGACCCGTTCTCGATCTTGTTATTAAGGCGATTTTGGCTTCCGACCCAGCTTCAACAGAGTTCCTGGATTATAGAACAAACGGCCATGTCCAGGGCCGTCTGAATACGCGTTGGGTCAACAATGCAGAGAGGGTCTGCGATAAGTTAGAGGGCTGGGTTGGACAAGCCGAGATTCAGGAATTTGGGACGGAAATATACAAGAATGTCCATCCACGAAAATATTCTATCGAGGTTTTCTTGCGACTTGTTGGATGGACCTGTGCCCAGTACCGAGTTAACCAAGCACAGGGACAGACTGAATTCTCTTCCGGAGAAGACACGTGACCCCCACTGTCGAGTATCGCTGCTGGACTCTCTATTTCTATACCGCTACAAGCTAAGACGCGGTGAGCGTATTCTAGGCTAAGACTACGCCCCTCGGCAGGGATGAGACTACGTTAAGATACTGAAGGTACGCTGTCGAGTGTCATTTATGCACACTGCACTATATTTATATCAAGTTTAAAAGTTTAATGCCCCGTTAATGTCTCACACGATGGTGGAGTACCTCCTCCCTAGCTTTGCTTTTCAGACCCGACTCTTCCACTCCAGATCTGTTGAGTTCCGACGACAGAGAACGCTTCGCGATGCGACCCGACTGCGCCCCTCCTCGACCTCACAACCTGGGGTTTGGAGTTCTCACTGGCCTATTCGACCCAACTCCGACTACCGAAATTCAGTATATTAATTAGATGTTACATTCCCCTGTTTAGCCTCCTAGATGAAAATCTATATCAATAGACTCACTGGAGAGGCTTGTCGTTCTAGTTTCGTAGCGGTAGGGATGGCTGCGCACTCGAGCACGACCACAAAAAGTTTCACATGGTCTTGTTATAGCCCACCGCGAGGGTCGAACTCGCAGCCTTCAGATTAAACAAGGGGACTTATTTTAAGAGTCTGACACTCTATCCGATTGAGCTAGGCGGGCCCGACGGTGTGGTATTCCGCCGAAGACGTGCCGAGGATTCTGCTTTGCCTTGGTTGTTCAAGAGAGACAATCACCCTCGTTGATATTTAGCACAGCATCTGGCTAAGGTTTGCTGAAGTCTGCAGTGTGCCTTCGTGCTTCATGAGCTAACACGACGAATCTTGTGCCTCGGTCGTGTGTCGTTCTCGTCCAAAAATTCTCCTCATCGAATTTGAATATCCACATTCTTTATTTAGGTTATTCGCTAGATGCGTGCCTCATTCGTATTGCTCCCCTGAGTCAAGGTTACCTCCATCCGGTGAGAATTTAGCACTATTACTAGAGTTACTGTCGCTGGCCCGTACTTCGGATGCGTCCTTACTTCGGACGAACACTTGTATCTGGCGCAACACTTGATCAAGCGCTCTATGGTGCAATAGGCGTAAACACCACATAAATTGTACAAAAAATACTCCTCATGCAGATCATTAAATATTATAATTTTATCTTGTAGAAATGTTCCTTTCTAGTAGATGAGTAAATATACCAGACCGAATTTTGGTTGGACAAAAACTGACAGAGTTTTATTTTCAGAATTTTCATGTTATTGCGCATCTGACATAATATGTCTATATATGGAAATCCATTACATAATCTAGATATCTATGCACTATCTCCCCACTCCTTCCCGGTGAGTTGTTTTTGTATGAGTGGCCAATATTGTGTAACTCCCGGTGACAGTACATCCTCAACCTTGTGCTGGACTCCCTCCTACTGCTTGGGTACCTCCACGAGACCCTTGTCATCCTCCAATTCAACCCCACTAGACATCT